AACTAAAATCTAAATACCTAAGAACACCATGTTAACCACCCTTGTATATAAAAATTAAACAAATATACAGAAATCTAAGAATTAACATAATTAAAGAAATTATTTTAATTTCTAATACTTGTCTACTTTGATTTTTAATAAGAAAAGTTTTGCTTTTTTTGAAATATATATTTAAATTTGAAATTTTTTTATTTTAATTAAAAATTACTTTAATTTTTAACACTTTCAGTTCCTTCCCTGAAGACGAACTCGAAGTAGACTTGTTTATAGACCAAAGTGAACTATCTTTGAAGTATAAATTTATACGATATACAAGTGTTTTATATCATCCTTAAACGTAATTATCACAACCATAGGATAGCCATCCTAACTGATAGGCCGAGATCATTAGAGGCTGACAACTGTCATCAGGAGATTTCAAAATAGTATGTTGTTATTAGTACAACAGGAAAATCATTATAACTGTTAGGCTTGTAGCAATATAGACTCTTATCTATCAGATGATATCATGATAGCATAGTAATCATAACTGATAGACAGGTAGCAATATAGGCTTTTAACTGTCATCCAAACTTTTGTGGTACTCGTATATTTTAATATGTTATATATGTAAGATGTACCCGTATCAATTTATATCTGCTTCAATAAACAGTGATGGATCCTATCTTTTTATTCAATTTTTGCTGGAAATCTCAAGTAAATCTCATTCTGCGACTATGGAAAAAAAATTTTTTTTATTCAGAAAGAAGGAAGAGGAGAAATAAAAAAAACTATACTGAGACAGGCTACTAGGAATTTCAAAATCGTTTATGGGGACTTTCAGCCAAAATTTGATGGCAAAGTTGCCAGAAAAGAAACAGTCTTGCTGCTTGTAATTTCTTTTCACTTTTTCATGAAGGAAAGAACAAATGTAGAAAGCTATATTACCATGGCTTTTTAGAAACCATACAATGGTTTTTACAATCGAAAACGTTTGTATGGATTTTCAGCCGAAAACGGTTTAGTTAGTTGAAGTGGGGAGAGAAATTAATTCTCGGTTTAAGGATTGTAAGATACTGAGTAAAAATAATGTAAACAGCCAACAAAAATTATTGACTTATAATAAAGAGAAAAAAAATTAAATACTTAATTAACTTCACTTAACTTAAATATTTAATGAAATGAAATACTTAATGAAACTCAAATCATGAGCTGGGAGCATACCTGACACTGATGCATAAACGAAAGAAATACTTAGGTGTGTGACTGATATCAAATGAAGAAATTTTTCTCGGTAATATAGCTTCAATTCTATAATTTTAGATACCCGACACTGATGCATAAATAAAAGAAACTCTTAGGTGGGTGACTTATATCGGAAGAAGAAATTAAACTCGTTAAAAAAGCTACAATACTAAAATTTGTCGCAGGAATTGGGCATAAAGTAATACTATGAGTCCATAAAGGGGTATAATAGGTCTCTAGGGTGGAGTGCGAGTTTTCCAATTTTATATTTAGAATGAAAAATGACTAACTAACTAACTGTGTTCACTGTATTTGTTTTTTATTTTATTTATTGACCAATGCTGATTTAACCTTTTGTTTATAGTATCATAGGATGGATGTGGATTTTGAGAATATATCGTTTTCAAGTGTTTTTTTATGGGATCTATACCATATAACATCCCTAATAATCTTTAAGGTTATTATTAATTGTGATTTGAAATTTGTATGAATTAAAAAGTAATTACAAATTAAATAGAAGAACTTCTTGAATGCTTACCGAGTTCTGAGTTTTTTACGTTCTTAGCACATATGTTATTGAATGATCTGAAGTCGTTTTTTACAGCCTGGCTTGTTAGGACATTAAAAACATGGAAACTGTTTTTTACTGCAAATGTTGTCACAATGAATTCAAGTGACCGATATGCACTTGACATGAGTGTTTCTTTTGTGCGAGAGTACAAAAAAATCGCTTTATAAACGGCAGCTCGGGAAAAATTGGCCGCCGTCAGGACTACTTTGGGCTAACGAAAAAAATTTCACCCCTATTCAAATCAGAGAAAAGGACTTTTGTCCGTTTTTGCGTGCGGATTGCCAATGTTTGCTGATGTGCATGTGTGAGTGGTGCGTGTAAGTGTGTGCGAAATTGAAAATGGAACAAAAAATACACTTAAATAAATAAAAATTTACATTTCGCTGCCATAAACACTTTTAAATTTGAATTTTTATTTTATTTAATCTTTTTTTATATTTTGAAAAATATGCTCAAATGCAAATTGAAATTGATGCTTAAGTAAACAGCATATGTAAACACTTACAGATACGTGTCTGCATTTTAGCCAGGACCCTGCAGGGGAAGGATGCTGTTGGATGGTTCACAGTTTTGGAAATTGCAGTTGAGTTTTGAAAACATAGAAGCGGGATTTTTTTTTCTGCAATAATATGAAGCTTTTAGAAAAAATTGCTTACCTCGCAAAATTTGCTCAAGTATGATTGACGATGGCGAAACTTAAGTTATACACTTTATGTAAATCAATTATTTTAATTTATTATTACAAATCAGTCGTCTATTTATCAGTTTAAAACCAACAAAGAAATAGAGTCTGTATTTAGAACTCTTTTTACTTTTACTGAAACGGAAGTAATTTATGTTCCGAAATTATTAGATCAAATTATAAATTCCAATATATATGGAAGTGGGCTTAGTACTAGAGAAGCCTTGTATGGAATACGAGTCCTAATAGGACGTTGCCTTTACTATAACAGAGATGTCCGTTCATGTTTTGTTGATTTCGAAAAAGCTTTCGACACTGTGAAACATGGCAAACTCATAGAAATTCGGAAGCATTGCCGATTATATGAAAAGGATATCCAAATAATAGCAAACTTATACTGGAAACATTACTCAAATGTTTGCATTTATAAATACTGCACGCAAGAAGTAGAAATAAAGCGCGGAGTTCGCCAAGGGTGAATTCTGTCACCATTACTGCTCAATATATACTCGGAGATTATTTTTAAAGAAGCACTATATGATGCGACAGATAGAATTATGGTTAACGGGGTACTCATATACAATTTGAGGTACGCCGATGATACAGTGCTTATTGCCGATTCACTAGAGGGCTTACAGAACCTTTTAGACGCTGTTGCATTGAAGTACAGAGAATACAGCTTGAAATTAAATTGCAGTAAAACCCAATATATGGTGGTATGCAAACGACCTATTTCTGGAGGAAATTTGACAGTATTTGGTTCAGCCATAAAAAAAACCGATAAGTACAACTACTTGGGATGCTAGCTCAATGAGCAATGGTTTAAAAGTAAATAAATACGCGTCCGAATTGAAAAAATAAGATTTTCTTTTATCAAGATAAAAAATTTGCTGTTTTCCCGGGAGCTGTCATTACCGCCCAGAATAAGAATGCTGCGATGTTATATATTCTCTATACTCCTCCTCTACGGGACAGAAACCTGAAAGTTATCTGTTGCATCGATGAATAAACTTGAGGCCTTTGAAATGTGGTGCTATCGACGCATGCTGAAAATCTTCGTAAGCTGGACAGAAAGAATCACAAATGCAGTGGTATTTCGACGTGTCAACGAAGAGAAAGAAATATTAGAGACATTAAAAGGCACCTAGAAGAAGAGGAATATACATCAATAGAAACATTATATAATCACACAGAAGACAACAAAAAAAAAAAAACAATGGCTATATTATATAGTAACACCAAATCGAAAATAAATAATGAGAAAAAATCTAATGTAGACTTTTGTTGAGGATTTTCCGAGTTAGTGCAACTGAGCACTTTTACTCTTTCTTTGCTGTGGGGTTTCTGCAGAGTCCGTTCTTTCTCTTTGTATAATTTATATATTCCTCAAAAGCTTCGCTTATTATTCAATGACTGATGTAAAATATGCATACCACCCCGTACGGCTAGTGACTGCTCTGCGATTAGATAGTGCTTTGTAGGGCAGTCTGCCAGTTTTCGTGTTTAGCTTCAGGGCACTATTCCTTACATATTTTTTGACCGGTTCTATTCTGAAGTCTCTTAGCATGTCATTCGTGCGGATGTAGTTAATGTAGTGCGTCAGCTGAATTGTAAATGTGACTGGTACAACATATGTAATAAAATATATCTTACTTAAAATTTTTTTTGAGTAATTTGAATATTATACTTTGCTTATATACTGATTTAGTTAAGTATATCATAATATTTATATTAGAAGTTAGAGATGTTAAGAGAAGATTTTCAGAAAAGAGGGAAGATCATGTTACCCACAAAAGGTATACACAAATTATTTATAATTAGTCTATTATAATAATAAAACTACGGAGGTCTTTACTCTGAAAAATTTGAATAAATACCTGTGAAAAACTTATGATATTTGAATTATACTTCAATTGCTTTTGCACGGACTGTACTCACTAGAGTTGACTCCCAAAGTTACCTTTTCAAAGTACCTCAAAAAAATGAATCCAGGATAGAAAATTTTGTTGCAATGAGAAACCCTGAAATGATTTTGTAACTTTTGAAGGAGATTATATTGATTAATAAAACCGAATTCTTCCATAAAATTGTTGCTCTATTACTTATCCTATAGACTTATAAGCTGATGTGTTACATATATAATTTATAAAAAAAAGTTTTCTAGTTAATCACTTAATAGAAATCTAATTGAACAACAAATTATACAAAGTTCCAATTATAGCTTAGCCACATATAGAGTATTGTATTAAAGAGCTTCCTTGTCTCGATACATATTGCTATGTAGTGCACATATGGGTATTCAGGTTTGAAAAGTTCGAAATTTTATTTAGTGTTATATTAAATTATCTAATAAGCAATAAGAATAATTTAGTGTGTCCTTTTTATACATACAAACTGTATAATACAACATTTTATAATGTAATAAAAATAAATATCCAGCAAGGTCCAGAAAAGTTGAAATTTATTAAAAATTATAGTTAAAACCCATATTGAATTTAACTATAATTTTTAATAAAAGGCCACATATCTAAATCTTTTAAAAATTCAATTTTTATCTTTTGAAATCCTCTGCAAGTAATAATAATAATTGTTTAACAGCTTATTTCGTAAATGATCCCAGGATGCAACGGATTAAATATGCAATTCCTCTGATTAAAACACGAAACATCTCATTAGCAATATTGTCTTTACCAAATGAAAACAGCGCTTCCCTATCTGTAGTTATAGAGTAAAATTTGGTAGAAGGCTTACTTTCAAGTTGTGGCTGTAAGGTAAATAGATAGAGATCAATAACACCTTTGATCAACTTAGTCATATCACTAAATGGAATTGGCTGGCGTGTTTTAAAGTACTCTTCCCTTAATAGTGATGATGCGAAGGATATAAAGTTGGCATCTATCTTTTTACCAATAGTATGATATTCTACAAATGCTAAACCTTCTTCAACACTGGGTAAGGGAACTAGATCCATAACGATTTTTGCTTCACAGTTCTCTTGCTCGTTATCAACTTCTTTCGGTTCCACAACAATATTAACTACAGCGGAATGGTTGTCTTTTCCTTTTTTTAGCATTTCAACTTCATATGTGGCTGAAGACACTTTTTCTTTAAGCTCAATCATTTGTTTTTTTAGGTCATCCATTTGAACCTTCATGCGCGCCAGATCTCCGGTAGATAGCCGTAAGTTGCTTCGTCTGGGCATTTTTGAAATTTAGAGGAACCAACCAGAAGACAAACCTGTTTAAATATAAGCATATGTTTTACATGCTTCCTACAATATATCTATACCTACGTTAAGGATTTCAAAATATAAAAGGTGTTCTTCCTACAAACCGAATTAAGCAAATCGGGAACACCACAGAATTGCTGGCCAAATACAAACGGTAAAGAATTTTGATGAATTTTGATGAATTTTGAATATTTCTATTTTAAATATTTTCTTAACTACTTTGAATTATAGTCGAAATATTTTTTTTATTTTATTAAGCCTACTTTTTGAATATTTTTTTTTTATATTTTAATAGAGATAATGGAAACAAAAAATCACATTTTTTATTTTGATATATAGATATATGTCTAAAACTTGAAGAACAAAAAAGTTATGTCCAGGTATGTATTTTTTACAAAATAAGAGCACTACCTGGGGTCCAATAACAACAACTAGTTTTGAGTGATTCGATAACTTCTGTATGCTTTGATTATAAAAATAATAATTAATAATATAAAAAAAGTATAATATTTAATATATGTAAATATGATTTTATAATAATACATTTTGATTAATACATCATTACTCAAATTAATTGATTAGTATTTTAATTGCAATATTTATTATTAATTTTTTCAATATAATCCACAGTAGTATGTCACTCAGAAACGTTTTAAAAGTGAATACATTCAGGTTTTGTAGGGAATAAAAGTGAGTAAAGAAAAAGAACTACACACAAACAAAGTTTGATTGATTTCCTTCCCTCGTATTCAACGCAACCAAATAAAAGGATAACATATCCTGAACCTGGTTTCTAATTAATGAAAACTTTATCTAATGCCTGCGATCAAATATCTGTCGGGTCATTTGTATAGATTTGTTTTTTGACAACACTTTTTTGAGTTTGAAAAGTAGAATTGAACATTTCCTTTTGCTCTATTTTAATAGCTCTGGGTAAAGAATAAGATCTCCAACTAATCTCTTCAGCTACAATAGATGTCAGTATCATTCACACAAAAAAAAATGCTAATTTCTGTTTTTATACAAACGGGGACAAATCAAGTATTTGTATTTCGCAAAAACAACATTTGCATTATTTGTCCTCAGGATGAGGACTTAAGGATGAAGGATGAAAAAAAATGGGTTTGTTCAAAAACAAAAGTCAATGCGTTTATATCCTTACTGCTCTATTGACAGCTTTACTACGATTTGTAAACACGGTAACCGTAAATGTACTTTTCCGGAAAGTGGCTTACGCTTCCGTTTGCGGATTTGGATTTTCCGGTTGAATTTTTAGCCTGTGTTTTTCTTGCAATTTTCTCACACAATTCCTTGTCATATTTTCACTTGTTTCACATTGAATTATATTATTCTACTTCTTTTTGTCGTTTTGTTTAAACCAATTGAAATCCTACTTTAGTATTGTAGTGGGGACTTGTTGAATATCCTTTTAGCACTTCAGTCTGTCGGGGTTAATTTCGCAATGCCAGTTACGAGTATAACACAATAGAAGCGGAGGAAAAAAATACCAAATAATATAAAGTCACATAAAAAGGGCGATTTTGACTCAAAGTCGGGTTGGCATTCGAAGGGATGTTATATATGACGTTGTGGTTGCTTTTATTGTTTTTGTATTTAGTTTGAATTTGAGTTGTTGTTTTTGTTAAATTTTGCAAAAACATTTAATTTTTCTACTATTTTATTCTTCCTTTCGTTATGTTTTTGTATGTGAAAAGGACTTGAAAAGTGTGTGGGTGCTTAGAAGGTGTTAAGTGGCTTTGACACTTTCTTTGAGGATAATATTTACAAGTAAACTGTTTAGTATTTATAAAGAGAAAATTATGATATGGTAATCCATTTTAGAGTAAATGTTGGAGAGTATAATACATAGAGCGGATTATTTTAAGAAATAATCCAATAAAAATGTTATAGATCTACATTTGGGTAGATCCATAAGATTCTCACAAAAGATATTCGTTGATCTGATTCATAAGAGATATATGATTAAAACCGAAACTAAGAGTAATTAAAACTTGTCAGTAATTTAAATAGCGAGAAAATACTACCGTCATATAAACAATATAAACATATAACTTCAGAGTTTAATATCTGCGGCCAAACAATATTATTCAAAAAAGTTTTGATAAATATTGTGAATAAGAAACTTATAACGTGGTTTGTTTTCAGATATGGGTATATCCAAATCGTGTTATATATTCTTATTGCTTTTATTATTACTCAATATCTTTAAATATATGTAAAAGAAAAGCTCAAATCAATATTAATAATTTAAATGTCTTTAGTCAAATATTTGTTAGGATTAAGAATCAATGATAAATAGATAGAGATAATGTAGTCACCACCGCAACATTTTAACTGCCGACTGCTGACTTAACCACTGCTACTGCTTTACTGCTTAGATGATTTCTTCTTTAATGCTTAACCGACTTCTAAATTCTATATTCATTTATGGGTTAAACTAAGATATTGCCGTTTACAATTTTTCTATATATTTTAGATCACGGCTCTTCAGACCAAATATTGACGTGCACCAATTCAAATTATTCAATAGGTTGGAGGGCCGCAGAAAAAAATACATATGTTCTTATATTTGCCAGAGAAAAATGAAAATAGAGCGATAATGTTAAATTTAGTTTTATTGATTCTTTACTAAATTATCTTTTACAATTCTGTTAATATCAATTTTATTAATATTAGTTGTCATAAAGAATATACTTTATTTTTAAATTTTAAAGATAAAGTCTTTGTTAATTAAGTAAATTAATAAATTATAACAAATAAATAATGTAATAAATTATTTAAAATATCTCAATTCATTTAGTTCGGATATAATAAACATAAAATAATGTAATGTTACTAAAAATTTTCCCAATTGTGGTAGATTAGAAATATGTTACGGGCCGCACTAATATTTGCTGCGGGCCGCATAAGGCTTTGGACGACTCTGCTCTACAAGGAGAAGAAGACTACAAAAACAAAAACAAAAATAATTTAATTTGAGTATTGAAAGTCATTTTATGTTTCGGATATTGAAACTTACGCTTTATTGATAGTAACTACCCAGTACCGCTTCTATTTTGCGGTCTACTTTTTATAGGTTACATTTTATTAAAAAGTTCTTTACTTGTTGGATTGTATCACCACCATTTGTTACGACCTCTGGCAAGTTTTTAGCCGCTACTAGACGGTCTATGTAGCCAATTCAGTTGAGTTTTTTGTAAATTATTATATATCAATAACCAAATACTTAAGAGATAATTTCAAGACCACTGATGATAAGTATTTGACAATACTCCAAACAGTTCTATGGTCAGTCAATAATTAAATTTATTAATAATAAAAAAAAAAAATGGTCAGGCAATAATTAAATTAATTAATAATAACAAATCACTATAATTCCATAAAAACCTTTCGATTGAAGACAATAGTTTTTATTGAGAATTCAGTTTCTTTCGTCAAAACGGACGAAATAATGAATATTCAATTTAATAACCAAATTGTCAATACTCAAAGCGATAATTATCTCCTACTAATAGGATTATAAACATATGGCATAGAACTATATTGCATGTTATCATTCAAAGAAATAATATCTTCTGTTTCTTTGGTGACATTTAAAAATTGTCTGAAATCACTCATAACTCATAGCACTGACGTTACGGGATATACAAATTTTATATATAACATATCACTTAGGTGTATACATAGTCGTTTACGCCTATGTTAGATCTAATGTAATAACGGACTTGGTATAAATTCCAATTCTGACATTCACTGTCAAGTGTTTTATTGAGTTAAAAAATTTAATGATTATAATACTCATAATTTTACTATTAAATTGCATAAGTAATTTTTATTAACATTTTCTTTATTTATCAGGAAAGATTATCTACAAATAACTATAGTTTGATCTGCATGTATCTTCGCTATTAAATTATCACACAATTTCTAAATTGTCTAAAAAACATGTTTAGTATGATAACACGTTTGCTTTCTTACTTTATAATTTTTTTTTCTTCCAACCATTATTTATCATTCATCATATATATTATTTGAATTTAATGAAGCAACCCAAATCAAGTATATGTTGGCATTTACAAATAAAAAAGTCAATGTCCACCATTCTCACTAAATATTGTGAAATACTAAAATTAAGCTAAAGTAGCAAATATATTAAACTAAATGATTAATTCATAATCAGGCAATTTGTTTCAATTATAGGCTGCATAAATTTAAGTGAGTAAGAATTATAAATTAAACGTATCATACATTTATAGCGTTGTGTCTTTAACTACCGCAACAATTCAAGTTAATGACACAATAAAGCACCTACAAACCCATAACATTCAGAATACATTAAGACTGAAAAGTTTTCGGAAATTCTCATTTAAAATTCGCGCGCTGTATATTTTTCGATATTTTAAGTTTATGTAGTTTGGCAGCACTGTCCTTAATTACTATGCCAAAAATGAGCTCGATCTGTCAGACAGTTCGTTTACGGCAGCTGTTGAAACCAGTTCACCTCAGTAGTGCGTTGCGAAATGTCTTCGACGGTCGTACGACCGTCCTGGAAGGCTTTGTACCACTCATAAACTTGAGTTTTCGATAAAACTGATTCCCCATAAGCCTTTTGTAGCATTCGCAACGATTCTGCACACGAAATTTCGTTCGAAACACAAAATTTGATGCAAACTCTTTGTTCAATATTTTTTTCCATTGTTTTTTTCGCAACGCCCTACTGAGGTGAACTGGTTTCAACAGCTGCCGTAAACGAACTGTCTGACAGATCGCGCTCATTTTTGGCATAGTAATTAAGGACAGTGCTGCCAAACTACATAAACTTAAAATATCGAAAAATATACAGCGCGCGAATTTTAAATGAGAATTTCCGAAAACTTTTCGGTCTTAATGTATATCAATTCCTAAATTTATAATTCTCCTTCACTTCAATTAACAAAAGGAATAAATTAGTTATTAATAGAGTAAGCGTTGATTTTTTAATATAATAATATAATACGGATTATCTGTCGCAGTTCATTCAATTACTTTTCGTACAATTCCGACAGTTAGTCAATTCGGAAGTTAATCTATTTTCAATCACTAATAAATTGCTTTTCATAAGATGTTATAATAAAATTAAACTTAAATTAGTTTTGAAATGACTAAACCGCATTTATAGTTCCAAATATGTAAACGTA